TTGAAGCAATTCGTCGAACACCTTTAAGGCGGGCAGACAGAGCGGAGGAGAGCAGAGGCCAAGGCCAATCGAACCGGCCGATGCCTCCCGAGAGGAAGGGTTGCACAGTTCATAGAATCATCAATGCATACGAGCAATAATGCAATTTCACATTTATTCATTATTGTTTACAGAATGTTGATGAAGCTGATAGTCCAACAACATCCCCTGTTCGCTTGATGACCGTGACAGCAGCAGTAGCAGAGCATCCTCCTCCTGTGGACAGGACGCTAGCAGCATGGAGGCTCGGACTTGCAACAACCTGGTGGTGGAGGAGCCGCAGAAGGGAGTGACAGTGCCACCGTAGCTCGTCCCGCTCGGTGGGCGCGGAGGACACGAGCGCCACACGGCCTCGGACTCCATGCGTCGGAGCTTCGCCTGGTGTGCGGCGCATGACGCGTGGAGCTCGGCCAGCGCGTGGACTAGCGCTCGCGAGAGCTTCGGCGTCGTGGTCAAGTCCAGCTGCTGGTGCGTGCGGGTACGTGTAGAGCCGCCGCTGCTCGAATCTCCGGATCCCGTCGCGCTCCTGGAGTATGAATCCCGCCGGTGCCATGGGACATCAATGTCGGGGACATGGTCGGAGTGCTCGACGACGATGGCTACGGCAGGGGGCGGGGGCTGGAAGAAGCGAGGGAGGTGACGCGATTCACATCCGAGGCCACCGACGGGCTAGCCAAGCCTGGCCAGCGAAAAACGGATCCCCAACTCGTTTTTCTGGAGCCAGGCTAGGGCATCCAATGTGGCTTAGTTGTGCCTGGTTTCGGACCGTTTATAGGTAAACAAACAATTGAAAGTTGACTATCGGTGGAGGTTAGCCACCAAACCAAACACACCCTATCTCTCCAATGCCGGTGTCTTTATATAATAAATATTAGATTTTTTTTGTCTGATCTCACTTATCCCTTTCTCCCTCCGATACTCTCTCTCACCTCATTCTCTGAATCTCTCCCAGCCACACACACGAGTACACGACGCAGAACACCCTCCGAGCACGGCACGGCGTGGGCGTACTCGAGGTAATTTGGTCAAGAAGTTTTATTGAAAGCGCGCTGCTGCGTGGGCGCGTGAGCGAGCCTGGTGACGCGACGAAGCGAGCGCGTGAGCGAGGATGGAGCGGGGCCGGGCCAAAGGGTGGGGTCGGCGAGTGAGCAGAGAGGGCGCGGCGAAGCCGAAGATGAGCATGGCCGGCGCGGCCGAGCGGGGCGGACGCGGTCAGCGTGAGCGGGCCCCGTAGAAACCGGTGGTTTCTCCCAACGGTGATTCCATGGTTTCTTCCTGCATTGACTGAAGAGAAGACGTCGTTTTTCTCTTTTCAAACGATTTCTACGAATTTTTCTTCTCTTTTAGGCTCAGGCCACTTCGCTACCTGGGCCTTGTTTAGTTGGCGATTTTTTTGAAAAGTGGTATTGTAGCATTTTCGTTGTTATTTAGTAATTAGTGTCCAATCATAATCTAATTAGGCTTAAAAGATTCGTCTTCGTGAATTTCGTCTAAAATGTGTAATTAGTTTTCTTTTTTATTTATATTTAATACTTCATACATGCGTCTAAAGATTCGATGTGACGGAAAATCTTGAAAAATTTTGCAAAATTTTGAAAACTAAACAGGCACATGGTGGATCTGACACGTTTGCTCGTTGCTCGCCTCAATTATCACTGGAAACCATGCGCGGCGTTGCCGCGCTCCTGTCTGTCTTGGGCCAGTTCATGATGCGTGTGTGAGTATGTGGAGACCGTTAATGTGTGCGGCAGCTCATGTGCTTGGATGGTGTATAAGAATATCCATCGATATTATTGATTTCTGAATGATACAAATACAATGATGCAAAATGGTAACTGAAAATAGGAAATAATTACCTTTGATATTACGATGATAAGAATATGAAATTTACAATTTTCTAAAGGTTAGCAAGTACAGATCTTACTTTGAGTGTGTAAATAGCAAATAAACAATCCAACTTACAGTCCCTATCCTTGTTAGAGCACCCAATCAGGTATATTTTGAGTCCTGCATCGATGTGGCTGGTAGATGTATCTGGACTCGAGGACACGTGTCTAAAGTTTTTGACATATAAAAATATGTGCAAGCTGATAATGTTGGCAGCTGAATATTCACTTATATATTTTCTGCTTAGTTGCCACACTTTTAGACTTGCAAGATTGACTACTAACAAGCTGAGAAAAGTTATAAATGATATAATTTGCATGGACATTTATGTATAGATATACTCATAAGGAGTCTAATAAAACTGGATTTTCATTTTTACAACTTTTTTTCTAATTTTTCAAAGTTTCAACTGATTATATGCATAAAAGGGAAAAAACAGAAAAGGAAAGCTATTTTGCATCGGCGACCCTGGTGTTTTAAGTAATTAACCCATAACCTCTGTGTACTCACATGAGTCACGGAATTTGCATCTGGATCTGAGAAAGAGTTTTTAATCATTTTTCTTCCTCTTCCTCAACCTTACGAACAGAGCAGCAGGGTAACGGGTTCGCAGCGCGATTCCGGCCGGTGGGGTGGCTCGTCGTCGACGAGCGGGGGTGCTCGAGCATCAGCTTGCCGGCTCGCACGCAGGGTGGTCAGGGACGGCCTGAGGGCGCTGGGCCACGCGCACGTGCGTCCCGAGCAGAGGCGGCGCCGGTGATTGACGCTGGCACCGGCACCGTCGCTGGAGCTCGCTGGGTGGCGGGCTGTAAGCACGGAGAAGGGGAGGCCAGCGACGTCGTGCTGCAGGAGTCCGGGGCCGTGACGGTGGTGGCGAATCCGGCGGCGGCGGCGTCTGTACCCGTCACGGCTGCTCACCGGCGCGGGCGTGGCCAGCTCTCCGGCGCAGGATACAGCCGACGGTGATGTGCACGCAGGCAGGGGCGAGGGAATAGGCAGAGAAGCTGCGGCCCGTGAAGCTTCGCGATGGATCGATCACGTTTAATCGGGTGGAAGATCCAAACCAATCCGTATCGGACGGACCACATCGCATGAGCGCTCGATCCAACAGCCAGCGTGCTATCGGACGACGTGGCCCTATCCATTAGCCCGCCTTTGATGCAGGAATCGAATTTAGAGATTTCTTTCACGATTCCGAGACCCATAGACTGTTCGGTTGGCTGGTTCGTTTCGTTGCTGGATCGTGAAGAAATACTGCTGGTTGGTTTGTATGAGAGAAAAATACTGTTCCGACTGGAAATTTACGATCGTTTACGACGAGGCACAGCCAAACGTTGTCCTCGCGACCAGCGCCTGGCGCCTCCTATCATGGACGAGAATGAAACCGTGACTACGTTCTGAAATCTGAACTCGATAGCGTGAATTAATTACTGGGAAACTTGTGTGTCGTTAAGAAGCTGGATACTCTTTGAAACTTGTGTGGTATCTGAAATGCATCTAGGACATGCTTGGAACGTCTTCTTGCACTTCGAAGTTGTATTCGAGACTTCAGCTAAAACTCGTTTCATACAGCTCGCCTCTCAATTCAAGTTTTACTAATGAAAATGAAAACCGCAGCTGAAGGAGTTAGCAGTAGTCCCTTCTCCCTTGCTTATTATATGCATGTCCCTTGTTTTTATGCTCTGCCAAACAAGAGTGGCAAAGACAAACCAAATAAGACGGTAAGGCCTTGTTTAGATTGAAAAAAATTTCAAACCCGATGAATAGTAGCACTTTCGTCTTATTTGGTAAATATTGTTCAATCGTGGACCAACTAAGCTCAAAAGATTCATCTCGTGATTTTCAACTAAACTGTTTTTTTACCTACATTTAATGCTCTATGCAAATAGCTAAAAATTGATGTGATGGAGAGAGAGTAAAAAAACTTGGAATTTTGAGGGTATCTAAACAAGGCCTAAGCATAGAACTACCACTATCACTATAGCATGCAGTACTACAGGTACAGTAGTATAGGGCCCTAGGTCCTTGGTAGACAAGACTACTGTGTACTAGTTTATTCCGACTGGTTTTAGCTGATTTAACAGTTTTATGTGAAAGAGAATAAGCTAAAACAAGAGACAAGCCGAGACGAACACGCTGATAATTTGTGCTGCTCGCTGCCAATGTACAGTGCCGTCAAAGCACATCTTGGAAGTCGATTATTATGGCCCCGTTCGGCTTTACTTAAAAGCCAATTTATTCGATTTCTTTTTTCAGCTGGAATAGTATTTTTCTCTCATAACATTTTAATTTTAACTTGTTTTTTCAGCCAATTTCAGCACAGCTAACGGCGCCTGTATCAGAGCTGAGCCTGCGTCTTCGTTAGCCCACGTACTGGTCAAAGGTTCAGGGCTCAAAACCAGAGTGCCTCGTACTCCCTCAGGGCCCGTTCGTTTAGGCTGATTTCCGGCCGGAAAGCTTTCCGGTGATAGTTGGCCGTATAAAATACAGCTACGTTTTGGTCCGGATCGGTTCCGGCACTCCATTCCCTGCAAAACGAACGTGCCCTCAGTCTAAAAAAAATAATTCTAGCTTTGAAAATCTGTACACGACGCGTGTTTAGGTTTAAAGTTAAAATTATATATTTTTTTTCAGGGAGGGAGTAAGTACGTACGGTTCTGCCTCTTCCACCAGGGCTCGGTGGCCGCGTCCCAGTCTCCTCGCTTGTCCTGTCGCTGTCCTGACTGAGAGATTCTAGCTGAGAGGCGAGGATCGTTCAAAGGGAGAATCTCTCGAGAGGAACACAATCTCTCACTCACTGCCGCTCCCACAGTAATAAGTGTCAGCGTGTCACCTCACTCTATCCTCGCCGGAAGGGAAGAAGACGATGGACGGTGACGCCGACATGATCCTCTCCTCGCCCTCCGCCGAGACATCGTCCTCCTCGTCCGATATCGCCACTGAGGTTCCTTCTTCTTTCACAACCATTGTGCATATGTGTGCAGGAGCAGAATCTTTGAAATCCTGGTTTTGGTTTCTGTTGCCAGTCCACGGGGTCGTTTTTTCGGGACCGGAGCACGACGCTGGGCACGCTGATGGGCGTGTCCCTCGCCGACGAGGAGCAGGAGCAGGGGCAGGACCACCACCACCACCACCAGTCAGGGCAGGATGCTGTGGATGGGACGGGGACGGGGACGGGGACGGAGACGCCGCGTGCTCCGGTGCATGAGGATGAGGGGGAGGGGTGGAGGTGGCGCCGCAGGTGGAGGCGCCGGCACTGGCGCAGCGCCGCCGGCGGGTGGTGGAGGCTGTGCAGGGACGACGTCCGCGTGCCCACGTCGCTCGGCCACTTCCTGGACATGGAGAGGCAGCTCTCCGGCGCCGGGCTGCTGTGCGGCGGCGACGGCGCGGGGGAGCGGGACGCTGCCGCGGCGGCGGCTGTGGCTGTGGCGGCGGATGAAACGGGGAGGTGGAAGCTGCGGAGGCCGGCGCAGGGGACCTCGTCGTCCCTGGCGAGGCTGCCGGTGCTGCTCACGGCAATCTGCAGCGGTGGAACCGCGTAACCTTACCTGCCCCGCGGCCAAGTAGAGCGGTTCAGGTATTCAGTTGTTTGTCATGCTCACCGGTTAATTTGTCACCTTCCCTTTCTAATCCAAGTCGATCAGTGTCGGACACCTGATGTTATGCCTCTGAATTTTCGATTCAATGATTGTTTAAAAATTTTTCGATTCGATGTAATGAGTGTGATAACCGATGAAACTTTGACATGATGCAATCATGCAAACTAGCATGATGTAGTGAATGAAATATGCAGTTGCTTGTCGCCTTTAGCCATGTTTACATCCCACCCAAAATCCAAAAATTTTCAAGATTTCCCGTCACATCAAATCTTACGGCACATACATGGAGTATTAAATGTAGGTAAAAAGAATAATTAATTGCACAGTTTGCCCGTAATTGACGAGACGAATCTTTTAAGCTTAAATAGTCCATAATTGGACAATTTTTGTTAAATACAAACGAAAGTGCTACAGTAGCCAAAATCCAAAAATTTCCGCATCTAAACGGGGCCTTTCTATACTTCAATCTTGGACTAGCCCTGTTTGCTTGGGCTTACTCAGGACTCATTTTTAGTCGTAGAACCGTGTTTTTTTCTCACAACATTTTAGCATCAGCGTCCGTATAAACCAAATTTCAACGTCAGCGAACAGGGTGAAAGAGTTCACTTGTTGGAAGCGGATCGCCTTTGTCAGAGTCAGAGTCAGGCTCTTAGACTGTCTTCAACGACCGCGACCCAAAATATAAGATTCATTCGTCTTTTAGGTAGCGCTACAGATAAAGAGTTCAATACCTATTTTGGTCTTTTCCAACAAGACATAAAAGATAACACTTTCTGTAAATGGGTCTCAGGAGAGATGATACTCAGATTTGGGTTATACCTCTCCTGGCACCTAAAATAGGTCTTTCATATAGATACTCTGTTGGAGGCTATAGGTATTGTGTTGGAGATCCATTTTTGGTTTGGGATCCGCAATAGGTCTCCTTGTTTAGTTCATTCCCTAAAGTGTACTCACTATCCCATCGAATATTTAGACACATGTATGAAGTATTAAATATAGATTAAAAAATAACTAATTGCATAGTTTACGACTAATTTACGAGACCAATCTTTTAAGTCTAATTAGTCTATAATTTGACAATGTGGTGCTACAGTAACACATATGCTAATGATGGGTTGATTAGACTTAATAAAATCGTCTCATGGATTACTGATATATTCTATAATTTTTTTTATTAATATCTGAACACTCTATACGCGATGTGATATCAAACCTTTACGCACTGCATTTAAAAAAGGCCTTAGTATACGCATTTCGATTCGAGCGTGCGGCCGTGCTCGTGCCCGTGCACGGCAGGGGAGATTAAACTTTGACATGATGCAATCGTGCAATCTAGCTTGATGCAGTGAATGAAATATGCAGTTGCTTGTCGCCTTTCAGTACTTACAATCTTGGATGATCTGCTCGTGCGGGCGCCTTTGTCACAGTCAGGCTCCTAGCTTACGCGCATTTCGATTCGAGCGTGCGCCCGTGCTCGTGCCCGTTCACGGCAGCGAGATTCGCCATCCGTGAACTTGAGGCAGTGCAGCTACATTTGCACATGTGACCAACGGCTCTTGTCGTGCCTAGGCTAGCTCGTTTTTGTCAGAGTACAGCTACAGAGTCACATAATATACTGAGACAGGCACAAAGCGTCACGCACTTGGCAAAACACCGTACACAAAGTGGCACGCAGACGACGTAGGACACTTAACCTTACTACTAGTGTATATAACACCTTAATAGTTAATACTAATACAATCTTGGAGGGAGCCTACCAATTCCTCTTCCCTGATCTTTTTTGCAGGTAAGGGAGTGGCTCTGGTTAACTAGTTACAGCTACTCGTACGGAACACTACGGATACACGCACACTCGTACACCACCAGGCAACAACAATGGCACCCCAATCGGGCCCGAGCAAGACAAACCAAAGCCCGTCCAAAATACCCAGGCCCATACGTTCGTCATCTCTCACCTGTCACTTCTAGTCGCCGCCTGAGTCGGCCGGGTTGGGATGGGCCGAGAAGTAGGCGAGGAGGCCCATGAGCGGCGCGTTGATGTACGTGGTGGGCTCGGACTGCTGGAACACGGCGCGCGCGTCGGGGAAGGCGTCGGAGGCGTCGCTGGGCCCGCCCACGACGGCGCCCACGAGCAGGTTCGGGTTGGGCGCCGGGCTGGCGTAGTAGGCGGCGCCGGCCTTGCAGCCGATCCGCGCCGGGTGCGCCGCCACGGAGGGCAGCGAGCTGGCGCGGTGGTGGATCCGCCGCGGGAACCGGGCGCCGTACCCGACCATGTAGGACATCCGCAGCGGGTTGTCGCCCAGGATGTAGTCCACCTGCCGCTTGGCCACGCGGCGGAGCTGCACGGGCGACGCCGACGACGAGCCGCACGAGACGCGCCCGCCGGCGTGGCTCAGGTAGTTGGAGTAGGCCAGCAGCAGGAACGACAGCTGCGTCACGTGCTGCATGTTGCTGCTCCCGACCTTGAACAGCAGCCCGCCTGCATTGCATTGCATTGCATGCGGTTAAATTCATTATTTCCGGTCAGATCGATTCGATGCGGTAGAATTTGAATCGGATCAGGGTTAGTGGTGTGTGTGATTGTGAAGCGAGCGGACCTGGGGAGTACTGGATCTGGGGATGATTGGAGATGCCGGGGAGGAGGGTGCACATGAAGTTGTTGGCGTTAACACGGAATGACTGGAAGTACTCGTCCTTCCCCATTAGAACCTCCTGGTGAACAATAAAAACATTCGGGAGAAAAAAAAAACAGGATTAGTGTTTACTGTTTAGCATTGGCAATCTGCTTTGATACTGACTGTTGAGGGCATTTTGGGTATCGTTTCAGTACAGTACGCCCGTGATGCCTCTGAAAAGGCTTCCTTTCCTTCGCTGGAACCCTGCTGCTGCTACACCTACGCTACGCGTCGCCTGCTCCGGCATCATGCGGAGCACAAGGGCCAAGGAAGGAGACCGAGATTGTAGCAGACACAAGCATGTTCCTACAGCCCCAACAGTGGTAGGGTAGGTTGATGAGTACTGATTCTATAATACTCCGTACTAGGTTGATGAGTTGTTTACTGCATCTTCAGACAATGTTTAAGCTAAACTGGCCACCATAGAAAATATACCATGCATCCTAGATTCAGTTGCCCGCCACCGCCGTCAGAAACATGCGAGAATGTTGGCAAGATATCACGCGGTAAAGCTAGAAAACAGCAATGCAGTACATATAATCGGCATGTCATCGAGGATTCAAGCTGAAGCAGTATGGCTAGACATTCTAGTGCTAAGATAAAATACTGTCATCGAGGTTTTTCCTAACATTGGGCCTGTTCATTTCTCTGAATTTTAGAGGAATATGGTTTGGAGGGAATTTGTGAGAGAGAAACGCTGTTTTGGATGAAAAATAAACGGATAAGCTGAATTTAAAGACACGCAACGGGGCCATTGCCAAGTAGCCAAGGACATGTCCCGAGCCCACCGAAAAGATGATGACACCCTCGATGGGGGCGAACCACGTGCTCGCCTGTTGCCTGGTACGCAACAGAGACATGGCAGCATTATAGAGGTTAGAAACGGCCAAAATAAGGCACACCGCCCACCACGCTGACCAGTGCTGATGACTGTCTAATAATAGCAAAGGATTTGGGTGTGGCCAGTGCTTCTGACATCAGCGAACAGCCCAAATTTGTGGCACTCCGTCTCCCTCCGTGACACTGGCACATTAGTAGGAGTATACTCTGCTTCTACTTGCGTGCTCACTCAGGGTCAGGGAGCAGCACGCACAGCCAGAGTAAGTAAAGAGTTGTAACAACTCATTAACGTGGCGAGGCAATGGCAAATGTTTGCGCAAAAAAACGAGGAAGAAGAGGCGATGGAGGATGGACCTTTGAGATGAGGACGTTGATGCCGGCGTGCTTGTTGTCCCAGCCGAACTCGTTGATGGCGTCGCTGGCGCCGAGCACCACCTCGTTTCTCTTGATGTACTCGCGGTACTCCCGCCGCCGCGTCGCCTTGTGCAGCCACGCCGCGCCCCACAGCAGCTCGTCCTGGTACCCGGAGTAGTCGCAGTAGCAGGGGCACACCGCCGCGTGGAGGCTGCTGCTGTAGGGGCCCCGGTACTTGTCTGCGAACTCGAACACCTACAGCAACACGCGGCTTTTGAGTTGTCATCGGCCACAGAGTAGCTCTGCTAGGCTGCGCGCGCTCTGTCTCTTACGGCGACGGCGCGGTCGAGGAGGCGCTTGGAGTAGGCGGGGTCGGCGTCGCGGAAGACGATGGAGCCGGCAGCGAGCGCGGCGGCGGTCTCGGCGGCGACGTCGGAGCCCGGATGGGACGGGTCCACCTTGTACACGGTGCGCGGGGTGTCCATGTCCTCGGGCCGCTCCCAGCACGCGTGGTCGCGGAAGGCGTCGCCCACCTGCACGTACACCGTGTTGGGCTTCGCCGTCGCCTTCATCAGGTAGTCCGTCGCCCACCGCACCGCCTTCCGGGCCTCCTCCCTGTGGGGGCCGAAGCTGCGCCCGAAGTCGATCAGGCCCCACGACATGAGCGTCGCCGTGAACGCCATCGGGAACCCGAACTTCACGTTGTCGCCGGCGTCGTAGTACCCGCCGGTCAGGTCCACCTGTTACGTTCCCGTTCCGTTCGTCACAACACAGCCAATGGCGCAATGCTGACATGCCTTGCTTGTTCGAATAAAGAAGCCAAAGGCAACTAGAGTAATTTATTAGGACTGGGTGCACGTACCCCGGCCGCGGCGCCGTCGTGGAGGCCGGAGTCGCGGCGCCAGCGGAGGCGCTGGTCGGGCGGGAGCCTCCCCGAGCGCTGCCCCTCGAAGAAGAGGATGCACTTGTGCAGCGCGTCGCCGTAGTCGTGCTGCGCAGCCGCCACCGCCGAGGTCGAGAGCAGTATTGCCACAACGGCTGCGGCCGCCGCCATTGCCCTGACACTCCGCGACGCCGCCGGCATTGCAGCTAAAAGCTAGTGAAAGCTAGCAATGGCAATGGCCACCCAGCAGTGAATGCTAGCTCTGCCGACTGCCCGTACACACACAGCTGGACGCTTCGGCAGGCGACTGAGGTGTGCTCGGCGGCGTACTAGCTGCACTGACCGTGCTCGGCAGCAGTCGGCAGGGGAGGCTTATAATGGGCGGGGAGGCGAGTGAGGTGGTGGCCGGTCGGCCGAACGGGAAGGAGGGAGAGCGGTAAATATGGCACGTGAGCGCCCGCAGACACGGGCCGCGATGGGGAAAGAAGGCCTAGGATGCCGGAGCGCGGGACCAATGCGCAGACGCCGCGTGGACGTAGCGAACGTTGCGGCGCCGGAGGCCAGCTCGGCATGGCTGTGACCCGAGACACTGAACGGTGGGGTCAGCGCAGATGGCTCTCCTGCCGTTGTTTGGTTCGTTTTTGGCTGTTGGTCCTGTTCCTGTCCAGAAACCGGTCTCCACACGTACGTACCAGTGTATCTCACTTGGTCTGGGTAGGCGCAGGACAAGGCCACGACACATGGAGGACAGTGCACATGCACGTCTTGGCGTACGTACGTAGGATCTACCAAAAGAGTACCTACCGGGCACGTACAGCTTTTCTACTTTATTAAACCAAAGATCTACTGCTCTCAACTGAATACTTTATTAAGGTCCTCTCTTGCAAGTTTGGGGCGTACGAGCGGTCAGGATTAGCGGAGTGTAAAACAAGCAGGAGCAGCAGTAGGCTACTAGTAGCAGCGCCATTTCTTCGTCCGTGTGGAATTCGGGGGCAGTATTTTCGGTTCGGTTGGTTTCGTCTCGCGTTCCCGTGCGACGCGACGCCGGCTCGCATCGCACTGGTGACTGGTCCAGTGTCCAGTAGATGACGCTGCCACACAGACACCGGTAGCAGTAAAAACTGTAGTGGTCCTGTGCTCGGCTCGTGCTGCGCCGGTCACTGCTGCTCACTCAGGCCATTTGCTTTTACAGTGTTAGCGGTGCTGGTAGGCGGTTAGTAGCTCGTTGCTTTGCTGACTTCCCCGGATTTCTACAAAAAAAAATTTGATACCGTAGTTATGAACGAATGAGTTACTGAAGAGGCTTTAACGGCGTACCAAATGACGTCCATAAGTACATACGATGGCGTCCGAGATGGACCCCGGTGCATTGCAATCTACGATACCATCAGAGCACGGCGATCCTGCACTGCATTCCTGCTGCATTTCCTGTCATCAGTGCCCGGAGATCCGCCGGTTTTTGTTAAATGAGACCGTTGGGCGCCGTAGGGACGTAGGGTGGTGGGACTGGGTCCCGCCGATGGCTAGACCGAGCCTCACGGAGGGCATAGGATGGGATGGGATGGGACGGGGAGCCGTTAAAGCGTACGATCGCCATTCAGCACGGCCACGAGACGTGAGAACCTGGCGTCCCAAAGCAAAGGGCTCGCGAAGGGCCAAAGGCGTGACGAGAACCTACGCTAGGTGCTGCCCTGCTTTGCGTGACGAGAAATCAAGGGATCATCCAGCAGGTTAAGCCGTTAAACGCGCATGCCATGCCCCCTCATCAAACAAAACCTTGGATTGGATCCTCGACAGACGTGGTTAATTCACGGTTGGCACTTGGCAGACGGGCAGACGGCGAGCGCAGCAGCCTGTGAGGCTGTGACCCTGTGCCGCTGGCTGTGTCGTCCGACTGGGCTGCGCCTGCATGCGCGACTGCGCGCACTCGAAAACGGCCCAAGGCTGCGACGGGGCTGCGGGTACACCTCCACTTTGCGGTGGCCAGCGCCACTTGGCCGGCATGCACACCCAACGGCACGGGCACGGAAGCCGTGGCTTCTAGCCGTAGGTGTGTGCACCTGCTGCTCGGGAATGGTCGCTGCGTGCGAGCGTGCGTGCTTCGCCGCTTTTCAGGTGACCGCGGTTGCAGGGAGTGAGGTCGCAAAAGGCGATGACGGGTTTCTGACCGAGTAAACGCTGGCTGCTGTTGCACAGTGTTCTGAACGACACCACCACCACCACTCGGTGGAAGCACACTGACAACCCGCCGTTTCCGAACGTTCGAGAGCTCTCCCCCTCTCTGCTCCCGTGGCTGGGTTTTGGGTTTTATTGCCACGCGCCGGATACGACCAACGGTCGGAACCAGGAGCACAAACGGCGGACTGCCATTAATCCGTTCCTAGGAAATCTCCGCCAACGTCTGGGAGGCCGGCTCCCGAGGGTCCCGCCGTCCCGGAGGAGGAACACACGAGTACACGACGAGTCGAGGACTCGCATCCGGATCCCGTGATTTCTTCCGGGTCACGGCGCACGTTGGTCGGACTCGGACCTTCTCTTCCGTCTTGTTTGGCAAAAAGCACATACAGCAGGCAGCTGGTGGAGCGCTGCCAAACAAACCTATAATTAGAGTAAGTTTGATCAGTCTACTGGATATCTAGTTTGACCTATGGAAATAGCACTAACAGGCCATAAGGACTGACTTTAAAATCAAAATGGGTTGACAGAGCTAAAACACAACCTAGAGCTAAAACTTGTTGATCTAATAAGTAAGTTGGACCGACTCAATCATTACATACAAACTTTTATGTAATTATTAGCATCCAAAATGTCCTTTACTCTTTTTGGGTGTCAATTTGCCATCGGGAAGACTAAGACATTGACTAAATGTTGACTTAGTTCAAATAGTGACTTACTTGTGCATCTCTTTTATCGTTCGATGGAGCAATCAAACGAGTAGTTACTGGTGATCGAGATTACTCCATATGTCAATCAGGAGTAATCATCGCCGTGGCCAACTGCATTTCCCTTGTCCAATCGGACTCCTCCACTGGTGCACAAGATAAGGTAGGCGCCTGAGCCTCGCGGCTCTGGAGCGTTCCTGTTCCAGCCCCTACACGCACCAAAGTTGGAAGAGCATGCCTCCGGCATTAACCTCTATCTTCGACACCTACTCGGGTGTACAAAGGAGCAGGTTTTTGGGGAGCGTATGCGTGATTGCTTGTGTTCTCGGTGACAGGAAAATATGCTTCCTAGCAGCAGTGAACGTCTATTTCTTGACGACATTTAGGCGAGTGAACTACTATTTTTTCTGGTGGATGTTCCCGGGACTCCATAGCGAATATCGTCTTGCATTGACTGAGGGTCACGGGTCACGACTTCGAGCACCTTGCTATATCTACTGGTGAGAACGACATCACCGATGCCCTCAGCACCGGTACCATGCTAGGGTATTATCTCTCGAATTGCATCTGTTTTCAATTTGTTGATCATCATCTTTGGCTCTTTGCATATACAAGGAGATCGCATAATTACATATACACATGTGATGTCACAGGCGCCTCAACGGGCGAGGCGGTCTGCGTTCATGGTCGAGATCTCTTGGTCCAAGTTGTGGGTACGGTGCCGGCATCATCATGCTCAAGTAGTTCCTCGCCAACCCACGGCGTCCCACCCGTTGAGGCGTCGATGACACCAACCTCACCGCGGCCATGGTGGTAGCCTGGCCCCTCGCTGGAGATGCGAGCTCCAGTAACGCCGGTGGATGGTTCGGATGAGTGAGGACTACTCATCAACAAGGGAGGAGGAGCCCAGCGCGAGCTGGGGCAATTATAGATAGGACAAACCCGGCCAAAAATTATAGATAGGACGGATCACTTTTCATGTGATGTAGATAAAAATTGAAGACGATGGTTACTCCCTTCGTCCCAAAAATATAGATACGATACCCTAAATCTGGAATATAATCTTTCTTGACGTGAATATGTGCTAGTATACTTTTTATCTGGAATCTATTCTTTCATGACGTGAATATGTGTGGTGTTAGTGACTGACAGAGTGAGCTGTAAAGGTAGAAAAAAAAGATCCATCTGCTAGTGGTTCGGCTTTTTTCTGAGCAAGGACGGAGCCGTCGAGCGAGGATTGGCTGAGCGTGCTTTCGCTGCTCGTAGTGGAGTACTCTTTTAATTATTCGTTCTATTATTGCCTCAGGTGATCGGGCAGTGCCTCTCACATAAAAAGCATGTAAGAACAATTCTGATCTACAGTCCATATGATTCGCATACATGATATATTAAATGCTAAAAAAAGCATAGATAACCTGCAATAAAATAAACTTAGTAAGCAATAGTTGAGTGAATATGTAAACAATTATCGAACGTATACCGTTACCAAAACACTGGGCTTGCCGTGTGCTAGCTGATGGGCTTCTCCTCAACTCGTTAAAATTTGGCCGGTCCAGCTTACCCCTTCGTTCCTTGTCTGTGTCGTCTTCCTCGGCACTTCGCTGCAGACTCACGAGGAAGGAGGAACAGCCATATTGTTAAAAAAAAAAAAAAAAAAAAAAAAAAAAAAGAGGAACAGCCATGACGGGCGGCAAAAACTCTTCTCCGGGCCTCGACCTCTGCCGGATGGACGGGAAGGAGAGGCGGCGGGACCGCGGAGGAGGCAAGCCGAGATGTGTCGCACGCTGTGCCATTGTCGCTTTCGTCTTCAACCTCAGGCGATCGGCAGCTCGGTTCCTCTGCGGTTGTCCGGGGTCAGGGCTCAGGGGAGGGGAGGGGAGGGTCGGTCCGCCTATGTTCGACACGGCCAGTTACTTCTTCTGTCTGTGTTGGTTTCGGACAGAACCCGAATCCAATCAGATGTCTTCTCTCTCCGGCTATAAATATGTGGCGAACCGAGAGCGGGGCAGGGAGGGACACCACATCATCAGAGGTAAGAGCACAACCAAAAAAAAACAGAGAAGATAGGCGGGCCTTCGGCCTTCCCAGTGCCGTGCCCTTGCGGCGGTGCCTTGTCAAGATTAATGACACCGCTAAACTAAGATTGCATCCAGAGATGTCTAAGCGCCGGGCGCAGGACAGCCAAAGGCAGGGTAAAAGACCGCGGCCGGCGATCAAGAAGCACCTGTACCTGGTGTTGGATGACTGGGAGAGGGGATACTCCATCCGGCAGATCGACCCTGACACCATGCTCTCGGTCTCGGACACCGACGACTTAGCTTGCACCAATCGGGACCCAACGCACCTCCCCGAGCCCGCAGCGTTCCGGTTCGTGGCACCTGCCTTGGACACGCAATTCATCGCCATGGGCAGCAACATCGTCGTCGTGAGTAGCAGCGTAGGCGCAGAGGCTCCAACCCTGGTGTACGACACGGGGGCAGCGGCGCTGGCCATCGGCCCTCCCCTGCCGGGCCTCCTCTCCGACTTGCTCGTCGCTACAGCAGGCGGCGACGCGGTGTACGCGCTGACAACGCTGGGCGCGGGCCTGCCGCTCGCCTTCGAGGCGTTCTCGTGGGCGCCCCGCACCGGCGAAGCAGCGGAGCCGGGGCGTCCGACGCACGGGTGGTCGTGGAAGAGCGTCGCCGCGCCGCCTCCGCCTTTCGCTCCGGAGGCCATCGTGTCCTACGCGGTGCACCCGGACGGGCGCACCGTCTTCGTGTCCACGGCCACGCGCGCCGCCCACGGTTCGCGCCGCGGCACCCACTCCTTCGACACCACGCGCCGCGAGTGGCGGTGCCACGGGGACTGGGTGCTGCCGTTCCACGGCCAGGGCTTCTTCGACCGCGAGCTGGACGCGTGGGTCGGCCTCGACGAGGAGCAAGGCTGCGTGTGCGCCTGCCAGGTCGCGTCCCGCAGCACGATCAGCATCGTGCCGCCGGAGTCGGACAGGATGGAGGAGAAGCTGTTCTGCGCGACGGGCGAGAGCACGCGCTCGCGTACATGGGCGACAGCAAGTTTTGCCTCGTGGAGAGCGTGCCTCGGCCCCGAGAGGAGGATGCTGGGCTCGGGAACGATCGCGTCGTTCGTGTGACCGTGTTTGGCCTCAAGTTCGATCGGAAGGGGAAGCTGCGAACTACGAGTCACCGAACCAGTAACTCGTATGTAGTGTCCAAATATCCAAATACGTGACGTCGTTTTGTCCTGTAGCATTCTGGATGTAGGAGCTACTGTTTGTGTATGTCACTATTTCTGTGATATTTACCCCATCTATCTCAAACTAACCGAAGTTCTATATTTATCCTAAGTTAAACAAAATTAATTTTGATCAAATAAAATAAAAACCATCAACATTGATGGCACCAAATACATATAAATAAATAAAAGTATATCTAATGATAAATCTAATAACCATAAATATTCCTATAAATTTAGTAAACTTGAAATGATTTAGACATAGTGTATATCTAAGTGCATAACAAAAATTATATTTACTTAAAATTTAGAAAAATTAACTATTATTTCACAATCTTACTTGTTGGGTGCTAGTAGACAACCGCACAACGTGTTTCCTTTTAACAAGAGGAAGGGCACTATTCCTTTCAAAAAAAGTTCCTTTCAAAAAAGAGAGGAAGGACACTATTCCTAAAAAAAAAAAGAGGAAGGACACTATTCTCTCATTTGTCCGTGTGCTATTGCTTTTACTTCCGGTACTTTTGTTGCGAAGGAAAGAAGACATATATTGAAACACATCTCTTAGTTACACCTGGAAAAATCTAAAATAAAAAGAGATACAATGTTCTATTCAGATTCTTCTATCTTCTTCAGCCTTATGCTGAATCTAACGATCAACTCAAAACATTGGACATGGCGTAAGATCTAATGGTTCGAAACCAGCTTGAAACACATTTAAAATGATGAAAGAAACATCGTCAGTTGCATCGTTGAGTACAACATAGGCTGCAGATTCGTTGCCTCCAACCCTCGTGTCTGATTTGCTCTCCACGACCGACCAATGACAATGATATTGATGAACCTGAGTTCATATCCCTGTGGGGAATGTTTAGGAGCACCCCTCTCCTTTTAGATAATGATCACAAATTGATCTTTTAGTGATGAAATCGATGCCTACAACACTTATTTTATCGTGACAATCATCGAAGTCATTGCAGGTAACAAGATCCTAATCGAAAATCATCTCATTTCACCAATAGATTTATTTAAACTAAATCCTAAGCAAATTAAATTTAAAAACTATTGTAAAAGAAAGATGGGTCACTTCTCTTTATCACCGATAGACTCACCGGAGAGGAAGAAGAGGAGGTGCTAATGGCAGAGTGACGATGGCGGCGGCTGCTCCTTCTCGGTGGTGTGTTCTGGGACCGAACCCCTACTACATTGCTACACACACGAATACCTCTCTCGTCTATCTTCTTAATTTGCAAAAGGAAAATAAAAAGGAGAGATACTGCATGACAGTTAAGAGCCTATTTGGTTGGGTGGTCAACTTCCAAGCAGGCTCCACGAAAGCTACCTCGGACTTGTTTGGTTTACTGTTTTGGTTGTTAGCCAGCCCCAACAGGCCACCGGCCACCCCTTGGCCGGGCCAGCTGGGAACGCGGTGGGAGTCCGTTTCCAGGGAGCCATGCTTGGCTAGGGCTCGGTGCCGATTCGCTTCACCTCCCCGGTGCTGTACCGCTGTGCATGCTCTCCGGTTCCCGCCGGCCACTGCTCCGCCGAAGATCCCGCCCGTGCTATCGCGGCCACTGCTTCGCCGAAGCCTCGACCGTGCTCTCGCGGGCACTGCTCCGCCGAAGCCCCGCTCGTGCTCTCGCGGCTACTGCTCCGCAGAAGCGGATCTCCAGCGACCATACTCCGCGGATCTCGAGTTCCCATCGGCCACCACGTGAGCTCCAACGAGCTCGAGCTTCTCGGGCGCCTCCACGGAGAAGCCTTGCGCTGTTGCCGTGCGGGACGCGAGCACGACGCGCCACATGCGGACGCGGCGCGGCGGCGGTGTGCTGTCCAGGCCTCGGTGCCTTGCGTGTCTGGCCTCTGCCCGTTCCCTGCTCGCTGACACTCATGGGCAAGAACTCATGGGCAAGAAGGCCACCTTCTCTTCTACTAGTCCTGGGAGGAGGCTAGCCGTAGTACTGGATCATAAGCGGCAAGATTGGAACTTGTATTAAACTATTCCCTTTCTACTGTTGTTGTTACTTGATGGTTCATCTTTTGCTTTACTGGATTTGCCACGCCGGCCATCTCCCCGGCTCCGATTCGCAGAGAAGTGACGCTCTTCGACGAATCGCCTCAAAGACGGTGAAGTTACTTAAAAAAAAATGACTCTATCGAAGCCAAATTAGCTAAATAAATAAACTAAATGCTAGCTAGCCTTAGATTGTGTAGACAACCAAACAAGTCCATTATGACTTGCTGAGGCAGTCTTTAACTAGCTGACTTATTTTCTAGCCAGACTAAAAGGTAGCCGGATAACAAAACACCCTAATAATTAGCCAACTGAGAGCCAAATCGTATCGTCTTCATCAAACGGCCGGAGTACTATCAGGCTAAAACTATGGCAATGAATTTCATGAAATCGCTCGACATAATCGTCAACTATTCATCAAATCATATTACATTACTCTCAGTCTCAACTGTAGTCAAATCCCGGTTTGATGACTATCAGCCTGTTCGGCAGCATGTATCTGGCTTATAAGTCTTGGCAGCCAGCCAACAGTGTATTTCTCTCACATCAAATCAGGCAGCAGTACTTTCCGTCATGGCTTATAAGCCAATCCAGCCGAAACGAAAACTGGCTGTATAATGGAATGGAGAGACGTTGCATTCGCATCGCATCGTCGGTCAAAAATTGAAAATAGAAAGGGCGTAGAAAGCGTGCGCTCCAGCGGTCTTGTAGTCCGTAACACTAGTACTACCAGTAGTCCAGTCCAGTAGTGAAAGCGCGGTACACTGACACGGAGCAGCTGTGGCCGGCTGCTGGTGTGGACGGTGCACCATTGTGCCATGCGCCCCGGGGCCCCGGCAGACCCACATCAGCACGGCGCTGGATCGCCTCGAGCACGCGCGCATGGCGCATCCGAGGCTCCGAGCGGTGAAAAAAACATCGCGAGTGGCCTCGCGCTTTCGCGCCTCGCTCGTGCGGTGCCGTGCCGGGTGCCGCGAGCCCCGCCCCGCGTCGGTGATCCCACCCACGGGACTGAGGATCCCCGTGCAGAGAAAAACCCATGATAAAAAGTAGACGCGCGCTTTAACGAACCCCAACGTCCTCCTCGTCCCTCTCACTCCCTTCCTTCCTTCCCTCCTCACGTCCTCCCCGTCCTCCCAAAAAAAAAACCGCCCGAGCCGCTGCGCAGCACGGCGCTAGAGGAAAACGCATTGGTTGTGGTTGCATCCAGGTCAAAACTTTCGGCGCGCTGCGAAGGGAGTCGGGCGCTGCGGGCGGGAGGTGGCATGAGGGAGCAGCAGGGTTCCGGCGACGTGGCGGGGCGCCGCCGGGGCGGGGTCATCAGGTCGCTGCTGGGCGTCGAGCGCCGGCTCGCGGAGGGCAACGCGGACGCCGAGGGGGCGGTCGGAGTCTCCTCGGGGAAGCAGCCGGCGGCCGCGGACGGTTGCGGTGGCGAGGAGAGGAAGGCCGTGGTGAGGGTGGTGGCGGCCGACATGCCGCCCGCGCTGCAGCGCCGCGCGTTCCGCTGCGCCCGCGTCGAGCTCGCCGCCATGCCGAACTTCCCGCGCCGGCTCGAGCCCAAGCGCCTCGCGCTCGCGCTCAAGAAGGTAAATGTGTTTTTTTTCCTCCGAATTGACTATACCCCGTAGCAACCAATGCTAGGACTTGCATATTCCTATTGGCAAGTTCACTTACAAGTCGCGAATTAGAGTCTCTGAGATGCTGCTTAGACTTCAGTGAGGACATTGTCTTGGATTCTTTATTGTTCTTACTATTACTAAATGTTTTGCTTCATCGCCCCTAAGAATCAAGGATATTGGAGCGGCATTACTGCTATAGTGTGATTTTGCACTTGTTTTTATACCATCATCGTGCACTAGCGTCTTCTCACGGGAATGCAGTCATAGCTGGTATATGATCTGTCCCTTGTGGTGCCTTACCATGAGTCCATGACGACGATTGTGCAGTGCATTCATATCCATTCTGATTTGATTGCCGTTGGAGTAATCTGGGACTGTCTACTGTCTTCATGCGTCCGAATCCAAAATAGTCCTGTAGTTCGTTTGCCTTTCAGCTCATTTGGAAGGTTCTGAGAGTTGCTGATCCCATCAGTGGCAGTTCAAGTATCAGTTTCTGAACAACCAGGCGATGGGGTCAGGTTGAATCATCGTAACTGTTCTAAGCCATCCTTGTGCAATCTATGGTAGCTAACCACCAATACTAGCAATTAATACACTGCACAATCATAAGGTCATGCCATCATATGCTCAGGTGGTTGTCATTTCACAAAATGGTACTCCTATCCAAGTTTGACTGATCATGCAGCAACTTTGAACAGACTATTGATCTTGAATTTGTGTGTTTGTATTGATTACTTTTAATGTACCATTTCCCAAATTTAATGTATCATTTCGAAAGTCTCATTTTGTACTACCCAACATGGTTCTTGCTTACATATTGTAAAGACATATGGATCTTTTCTCAGTTACGTGAATCTGACAAAACCTCCAAGCAACCAAACAGCCGAATCTAGGACCACATCGCACAATTCATCCCCATATATGTGATCATACAACCACATATAACGTATTCCAATTATTTGTCCGCAATTTCCTCATTTTGTTCGTCCTTCTGTTTCAGATTGCAATCCTGTACCACTGTACGTACTGATAAGGTCTCATCCCTTGCTGACAGGAGTTCGATACTGCTTATGGACCAGCTTGGCACTGCATCGTGGGGACGAGTTTCGGTTCATATGTCACGCACGCCCGGGGTGGATTCTTGTATTTTTCCGTCGATAAGGTCTACATCCTGCTCTTCAGGACAGCCGTGGAGCCCTCGCCTCATTGACGGCCACCAGCCTACCAGCAATGGACAAATGGTTCATAAAAATGCGCAGTTCTTGGGACAGCTTACACCAAATTCAGTTGTTCAGTCAGCTAGGCCAAGGCCTTGTAACTTGTAAATTCCATTGTTTCTTCGAAGGCAAATGGAAACTCTTCATGTTTCTGATAAAATTTCGATTGTTGTTGTCATCTGTTTCAACTGAATCTGTTCAAGACTTCTAATGGTTTTGTTTTTGTGCCTGATAGTGTACAATAGATTTCTGGCTCCTTTGTAGATGGCCAGATTGTATCAAAAGTTGCACAGGGAACAAATTTGGGGTATGTCTAGACGATCTTATCCTACAGAAAGTATCAAATGAGCTTGAACTTACCTTCTGTTGTTTTCCAAGGCAGGAATTACAGCCTGCGATCATCAAGAGGTAGATGCAACACAGTATAACACATTTGTTTCTAAAGAAATACGTAGAAATATCGATGTGGATCGAAACAAAGAAAACCTAATTAATTATCTCGTCTAAGTTCTGATATATACACATCGACTAACAGATTCAACATATGTCAAGCCACGATGGAGCTTGACAATGACATTATCTTTGGCATATAGCAAAAACTTGTGTGCGGCTTAGGCTTAGCTGTATCTCAGGAGTCAGGAATCTGGATTAGGGCGATGCAAACTGGAGCTCTAGAACTAGAAGAAGTTGATGTCATCTTTCACTGCTACGTGCTATGCTTACTTTTGCCAACCACATGTTACGTACTGTCGTTGGAGCAATGCAATGAAAAGATGGATACGCATACGCATCAACTCAAGCCCCCTTTAGCACGGCTCATCCAAAACGGCTTCACCGGTGAAGCCAGAAAAACTGTCTTTTCCCGACTTCTAGTTCATTTTAACCCCAGCTTACAAAACGGCTTCACGCTACAGTGCCTCGATTTACGCAAAATAGATTAAGCCGAAGCCAGCATAAGCCGTGCCAAAGAGACCCTCACACTTTCAGAGACGTCAGGACACAAAATATGCTTCACGATGACACGATACATGAATTCAAAGGATAGATAATGGAACAGGACCCATAAAACAATCCTAATAACCACTGCAGCATCGAAGAGACCACACAAATATAACAGAGTCAAACACATCAACAAATCTGAAAATCCATTACAGAGTACACAATCCAAATGATAGTTCTAGTAGCAGATGCTAACGAAAATAAACAATGTCCAAAGTTTGAGTATCACTCAACAGTCAACATATAGCATCATCACATATCGTTTCAACTTTCAAGTCATATATGTAGTAGTAGCAGATAGTAGTGCAAGTCATAAGCGTGTGCCGCCACTAAAGTAAAGGGCAACCGTGCGTTTCAGGCTCCCCTGTTGAGCCGCTGGAGGTGCTGCTTCCCGGCGTTGTGCTGCTCGACGTTGATCCCGCTGGAGAGGTGCACGTTGCACACCGAGCACCGCACGTTCATCTCCCCGGCGAGGTAGGCCACCCTGTTCCGGTGCTTCCGCCCCCGCTCGTGCTGCTTCAGGTGCCACGCCGTCATGCACAGCACGCCGCAGAAGGTGCACGGCACGGTGGGCTTCTTCTTCGCCGCTGGGTGCGGTGGCTTGGGCGTCGTCCTTCGCTGGAGCCCGGGCACGGCGCTGGGGCCGGCGTGCACTGGCGGCGCGGCCGTGGCACCGCCATGTGCGCCTGGCGCCGGCTGCGGAGCATGCCCCGCCCTTTGTGCGTTCAGCGCTGCTGGGGCCGGGGCGCGGTGGGCGTTAGGCGGCGCCGGTTGTTGTGGCTGCGCTGGCGCCTTCGGCCCTGGTGGGTACTGCTTCAGCGGTGGCGTGCGAACACCCGCGAACCCCGGAGGCGGTCCGAGTGCTGGCCTCTTTGCGCAAGGGTGCTGCGCTGCTGGAGGTGGAGGCGGTGGCGGTGGCGGTGGCGGTGGCAGTGGGGGTGCTTGCTGTACCTGAGAAGTGAGGAAATACACAAGTCACACAATATACAGCCATACATGTCATAGTCAGAATCAACCGTACATGACAATGCAATTTGTAACAAAGATGAAGTGAAGGCAGGCATCAAATTTGGAATGGATGTAACTGACTATGTGGTTGCCGAACATCTTGTAGTCCAGTGACCAGTAATATGGGATTATTTGCTCGATCCTGTTAGTTTTTTCAGAAGTGTAAAATGTGACAATGAATTACAATCCTACAGTTAGAGGTCCTTTTCCCCTCAAAAAGAAAGAATGACGGAAGGAGTAACCGAGTAAGCATGCCGGTTAATGAACAAACGAAGGACACTTAATGTTTGATTCTAAATTTCTAAGACAAACTTTGTGTTACCCCCAGTAAATTGTTCTTTAAATTAATTGCAGTACCATCTTTCTACATCATATTTGTTTAACTGAAAAATGCAGCTACAGAGGATAATTCTATCACTTTATTATGAACTATCATTTGAGGAAACACACATCACAAGGCAACTGAAGAGTACATTTCTGTATCTTGAATGGTAGGCTTTCAAGGATACCGCTATCTTCAAAAATATATTTGGATTTAGAACTGACAAGCCTTGCTGTATGTTTTTGTTGCAAGTGTGAATCGATTAGGTCCTTATGTCACCTGAGACATAATATCAAAACAAATACTTGAAGTTGAAGATTAGAATGAAACACATGCAGTCCTAGAACCTGCAGACTTTTCGTTTTCTCTGCTTAGCAATTATAACTTAACTGAAAAATGCTAATCGACCTTTTTTCTCTACTGAAATTACTGCTATGCTTAGACTTTGCACAAACCAAATATATAAGCACAAACATAAGAGAAAATGCTGAAACCTGAACAACATTTTTCAGGAAAAAAACATCACTTCAGTATTCAAAACCACATCCTTCAACAGTTTTTCAATATAAAGGAGGAAGGAAGTGAAGTACTGTGCCTCACCGGTGGGGCTGGGGGAGGCTGCGACTGAGCACTGCCAGAGGGTTGCTGGCCCCTCCTCCTCTTTTTGAGCTCGAGCCAGCGCTGGACGTCCTTGGTGAACATGTCCCTCAGCTCTTGGTCAGTCTCCCTTTCATCTTCTACTTTGATCACAAGAGCACCCGGCGGAACCGGAAATGGCGGCGCCATGCTTGTCAGAGGAGTCGCTAGCTGGATGTGCCGCTGGATGAAGTCTCTGAGCTGAAGAGGAAGAATTGCTATAGAACTCAGCAATAGATGAATTGTGTAAGTCTCTATATATGCTGTTTTTCATCCCACGTTGGTTAACCCCTCACACACACCTTGTGCATTGAGAGCACACTTCATGGCCAAGCCATAAAGCGACGGAGATAGCCCAGCCCATCGTTTGTATTGGGCAGAAAAAGAACCGGGCCCAGCATGCAAAAGTTCCGTGCAAGGTGTGGACTGACTGAACTCAATCATTTATACTTGACCAGAAATGTTGATCAAGGCTACATAAGGCCAGAGCTAATAGTTCTATGTGTATGCAGCTTGGATGGTCCACATAAACCGATCGATCGCCTCCCATGTCGGCTAGAAAAGCCTGTAAATCCAACTGAGTTAGTTGATAGCTGGCGAACAATAAAACAGGTGACAAGCCTCACAACCAAATTCAGTTGTTCAGTCAGCTAGGCCGAGGCCTTGTAACTTGTAAATTGCATTGTTTCTTCGAAGGCAAATGGAAACTCTTCATGTTTCCGATAAAATTTCGATTTGTTGTTGTCATATGTTTCAACTGAATCTGTTCAATACTTCTAATGGTTTTGTTTTCGTGCCTGATAGTGTACAATAGATTTCTGGCTCCTTTGTAGATGGCCAGATAGTATTAAAAGTTGCACAGGGAAAAAAGTTGGGCTATGTTTAGACGATTTTATCCTACAGAAAGTATCAAATGAGCTTGAACTTACCTTCTGTTGTTTTGCAAGGCAGGAATTACTGCCTGCGATCAAGAGGTAGATGCAACACAGTATAACACATTTGTTTCTAAAGAAATACGTAGAAATATCGATGTGGACTGAAACAAAGAAAACCTAATTAATTATCTCCTCTAAGTTCTGATATATACACATTGACTAACAGATTCAACATATGTCAAGCCACGATGGAGCTTGACAATGACATTATCTTTTCAACCCCAAAAAAAACTCAATAATAGATAGATTAAACCTGCTCAAATCATTGGAGGATCAGACGACCATTTCAGCCTCCTTCAAACTAGAGGGAATTCCTATATCTAGTCTCATAGTGGCTTTGTACTTCTCCGGAACTTTTGCACCACCCTGAATGCATATCTCAACAACAGCTGGTGCCTGACCATAGAAGGTCTTTAGCTCCCTCTGCAGTTCCTCCCCCGATTCAGGCATGTGCCAGACGTATCTAGGAGGTATTAGGTCATCGAGCACCGCTGCTTGCCATCCATGTTGTCCATTCCTCTGCTGGTGCTTAAAAGCTCCACAGTTGCGTGCTTTGTGGCCAGTTGGCCCAACATGGACCTCAGGGCAGTATCCGCAAACCCTCACTGCATAACCTTTCATAAGCTTCAAGGCACCATCCCTAACGGCTTCCCATGCTTCAAGTGTCTCCTCAGCAAGAGCCGCTGTCTCCTCAGGGCTAGATGGAGCAATAATCTTATCGTAATGTAATTCCTCAAGAAGTGGCTGCTTAAATCTGTCAGGCTCTGGTTCTGGTAGGTCATCTTCATTTGCATCAACAAACTCTTTTCTTCCAATTTTAATTATAGGCTTTCTTCGACGCTTTGTGGGATACTCAGGAAGGTCAACTCCAGCTTGGATGCAAAGTTCCACAAGAGCGGGAATGCGGGGTACAGAAAACCTCTGATCATGAGGGATGCGCGGCCCTAGACGGTCCTCTAGATGATAGGCTTCGACGGGTAAGAAAACAGCTTCCACTAGAGTACTTCCCCAGTCATGTTCTCCTCTACGTTGAGCTGCTGACATTCCTCGGCATGTTCGGAAAGGATGTCCAACAGATCCAACATGTATCTCACTGCAATACCTGCAACAGAAAAATACACATGAATGTGCTAAGATGAACCCAGGAGGAACTAGGTGGCATTTGTAAATTTGTAAAAAAGAAGAAATAGGCATCCATATTCGAGTTGAAGAGGACTTGAATCTAGGTGGTTGGGTGTGCATCCACACCTCCCACCAACTGAGCCTAGCTCAATTCTTTTTGAACTTTGAAAGTTCACCTAGTGTGACGATGAGATTTTCTTTGTGTGCAGTATGAAGACCTCACTGGGAAACAGACAGTTACTCTAGTTCTCTGATCAGGCTGAATGCATAGCTCCAAAGATAAACAACATGACTTTCATCAAACCAAATGCAGCTTAACTGGAACAAACAATGCCTGGACCAATAAATAAGTCTATCCTCTATAAGCTTCTCACCAAGATAAAAAAGCACAGTAAGCTTGCAAATAACAGAGGTGTCATTCATGATGCTATGAAGTTTGTATCGCATAATATAATAGGCACATGCTTATAAATATGTTATGCACCATAAAAGTCGTGAAATTAATTATTAGCACACTCAATCAATTCAGCAGCAAACATATGTCACAGTTCGCTGCATTAAATGCATCATATTATGTTACCTTGGTTTATTGAAAATGAGATCCATCCGATCAAAAAACAAAGAAACATCCCAGCGTAACAATAGCATAGTTTGTAATGAATAATCAACGATAAAGAATGGGAAACAGGAATTACTTGCAGCCTTTTACTGGTACTACTTTCATAAGCCTCTTCAAGTTGTTGATCAGCAAAATTCTTGCATTGTACACTTTGTATGCAACTGGTATAAGTCTATGCACTAGCATTCCGTTTTTTGGTGGAGGCATTGGTTGTTTCGGTTTCCCTTGTGCTGCCTTCATCCTCGCCTTTGCTCGGCGCCTCAACTCCAGCACTGGAATGGGAAATGGTTTCTTCTCTCTTTTTGAATATTTTCGTGGAAAGTCAGCATTTTGAGCATGTTCATTTCTAATGACAACAGCCCTTTGACGAGATTGACAAACATTTAAAGTAGGTACACTGCCAAAAAAAAAGGAGCGTGAGTAAATTCATCAGTAAATCAGGACGAAGCTAGCAAGATTAGCATTCAACCAACTTTAGTAAAGAAATGAAGAATCAAGGTGACTTGGTCTCATCCCCACCACTACTCTATTACTTAATCAATATATCCTCAGAAACATTTTGGCAAATTTCACCTAAATAAATCACTAGGATCTTCAATACAGATTACACTGCTTGCTCTAATTGACATACGAAGACATGCAAAGGGGGTTGGCAACTACTGTTACAGCATGTGTATTCGACTGTTCATGTGGTTTGTTTTTGTGGCTGCTGAGTGCGCGTCTTTTTTTTCATTTTGGGGTTCATTTGTACTCATTTCTTTCTTCTTAATGAAACGACATGTGACTGTCCTGCATATTAGCAGAAAAAAGGGGTTGGGTAACTGATAAATTTCCAGGATGAACGAGCATACATCGACATATATTGAATTTTCGATAACCACTGAAGTACTATGATTCCCAGCGTAATGAGGTATAGCTTATTCATCAATACACTGGGCAGCTCCACCCTCCAGTTACTTTTACATGATGTTTCAGACAACAAAATTAAAATACATGCATGCCAACTTGCTGTCTGAAACCGTCATGTAAACCTGACATAATTATATGGCACGAAGCCACAAACAGTTTGCCGCCCACTAGTCGCTAATAGTTCTGACAGCCACCTGGTATCCCCAGCCACATTGTATCTGTTTCTTGTTGCTTTATAAAAGCAGGGTTTACCTCCGTAAAAAAAAGTTCTGACAGCTGCAGAAGTATTCAAAAAACTTCCCTTGATTTGCTCAGTGCTCAAGCATCTTTTCAGGGCCTGATTATAGCAGCACTTTCGATTTGTTTATGGCAGTTCCGGAGATTAGCAAGATTATCGAGCAAAAAGAACTCAGAGCCAGCAAGAATAGGACTAACCCGAGTCTGAAGCTGCATCCCCGCTTGCCATTGACAACAGCTACGGACGCACCGGCTCGCTCCCTAACCTGCGGTAAACAGGCACGGCAGCTGAGCAACTGGCATGAATCACACGAATTCTGGAAACACGGGGCTGAGAGTGGGAGGTACCTGGAAACGGGGGGCGGACCACCGGAGACCGATGAAGCTGCGGAGCGGAAAAAGACGGGAGGAGCAGGTAGGCGGAGGGAGGACAGCAGAGGGAGCCGTTGAGGTCCGCATGGCCAGAGCTTCTCCCGTGGCCGTGGCCGGAGCGAAGACTGCTCCGTGCGACCGTGCCCGGTGCCTCCGTCTCTGTCCCTAACTCCCTATCCTGGAGGCTGCAGGTCGGGAACACAAACTCCGGTTGGGACATGGGATTTTTTTCGCTGCTCTCTTATGAGCCGGCGATTGTTGGGCCGAGTTAAGGTGGCCTGCCGTGACTATGGATAGTTCGCGGTCCAGTTTTCTGGTGGAATCCACTAATAAAAAAAAATAGTTTTCCGGTGGAAAAAAATACGAAAACGCTCCTTCCGTCCAGACGGACCCCACACTCGCCCACGCTGCCTCCGCCCGCGTCGCTCGCTCGCTCACTCCACTCGTGGGACAGACCCGTTCTCGCCTGCACCGCCCCCACTCGCGCCGCGCCCGACGAGCCCGACGCGCTAGGTGCTTGCTAGCTCGCTCTCGGACTCGCGCCTCCCATCGCGGCCGTGCTCCATCCGCCTGCCCCTGACAAGATCCGTGCCACCAACGAGCTCCACACTAGCGACCTTCACGCCACTCTACAGCTTCGTGCTCCGTGCCGGTGTCAAGCTCCACGTCGATGAGCATCCATTCATCTCAAGCAGCAAGTAGATGCTACACTGAAAGCGCATGTTGCAATAGTATATCGATGTTGCAAGTGTTGTATATCGATGTTGCAAAAGTAGATCGGGATGTTGCATAGTTGTAATGGCGATACACGTATGTTTCAAGTGTATGTTCTAAAATTTTCATCTGTTTCAGACGAATGTTGCAAGTGTTTTGTTTAGATGATGCAAAAGTAGATTTAGATGTTGCATATATATATGCATGTTGCAAGCATATGTTTCGAATGTTTTCATGTGTTTCATACATATGTTTGCAAGTGTTTCATCTGGATGTTGCATATGTTTGCAATGGTTTTCAAATATTTTTCAGGCGTTTTCGCAAATGTTTCAAACGCTTGTTTCAAGTGTTTCATATGTCTTCTTTTGTATGTTGCAACTGTTGTATCTAGATGTTTTAAAAATAGATCGGGTGTGGCACATGAGATACGCATGGGAAGCGGCCGGCGGCGTGGACGACATCCGGGGCGGTGCGGGACCACTACTAGTGCGCTCCCTCGCGAGCCCGACCCGCGCTGGGTGCTCGTTCGCTGCTGTGCGGGCAGCACCCGGATCGGATGTATTTTTTTTAAATATCCTAAAAATCACACAAATAAATTTTCAAAAATTTTATCCAAATATTTTTACATGGAAAAATAATTGCAATTAAAAAATCTAAAATCTGGTTCAATCTTAGAAAGTTCATAGAAATTTTGTTTTACCTTTGAAAATTACAAAACTAATTTTATCTTTTCTAAAACCATGCTCTATCTTATGGTGGATAGCTAGAAATTGTTTGAATTTTAATAAACTTTTTTTTGGTGCTTATTCGCTATCCCGTTACCTCTTATAGATAGTCGATGTTTTCTCTGGCCGTCCCTGGTGACTAAAATTTTGACCTGTAAACAAACAGAGGCCAAATTTCATTGGCATAACCAACAATTGGTGTTGGGGGCCTTAGAACGAAATAGCCCCTTATTAGCAACCAGCTAGCTAGAGCGTGACACACGCGCCATTGTCTTGCTAATTTTTTCTTCTAGTTTTTCTCTCACAACAATTCACATATGGTAGTTTTTCTTCAACCAAAAGTTGGTAGCAGGGCCATATGGTAGTCATGAAAATGGTTTCTTGGGAAAATGGTTTCTTGGGCTGGTTCTCCAAATTGCAGATTTCCCATATACCCATAACGAACCTCTGAAGCACTGGTATCATTTCTACTACCAAATTAAACAATGAAAGCTGTTCAAGCAAGAATGCCACAAGTTCTTCAACTACCCTCAGCTACCAGGCATGTTTACATGCCAATTGACAATTTGTCTCTCCATTTCGTACACCGCACCTCACACGGATAGCTGTAACAACAGATCGTCACTACACTCAAGCCGGAAACTTAATCCGTTAATCTGAATTAACCCAAACTTGCAAAAGAATGACACGACTCGATGCAACCACGCCTAGCTATAAAAACAACACATCGCCAGTCGCCAGCCCTCATCAAGCAACCCAAAGCCATCAGCTAGCAGCAGCAATCGAATACCGTCCACAGTATTCAGAGACCAAAGCAACAATGGCAGCCGCCCTCGCCGTTGTCTTCGCCATTGCCGCCGTTCTCGCGCATTCAGCCGTCAGCGCCGTGGTGGCGGCGACCGACGATGAATCTTCTACGGCCGCTAGAAATTTCACGATAGCTTCTCCTCCCTCTCCGACGACCACTGGTCCGGTGACATACGTGTTCGGCGACTCGATGTCCGACGTGGGCAACAACAATTACTTCCCCATGTCCCTCGCCAAGTCCAACTACCCCTGGTACGGCATCGACTACCCCAACCGCGAGGCCACCGGGAGGTTCACCAATGGAAAGACCATCGGAGACTACATGGGTAAGTTTCTGCGAGCTGTTACTGCTAGTTGAATCAATGTGGCGCTGGCGCGATCGATCAAGCAGCAAGCATGACCTGACGTATATACGTGTTATGATGTGCAGCCGAGAAGTTCGGCGTCCCACCCCCGCCGCCGTTTCTGTCGCTGAGAATGACAGGCAAGAACGTGCTCGGCGGCGTCAACTTCGCTTCCGGCGGCGCCGGCATTCTGAACGAGACGGGCGTCTACTTCGTAAGACGCGTTGCTGCTCTTCTGATGCTAGTAGTGAACTAGTGATTTGTTTCTGTCTCTGTAACACGTACGACGAATGCGGCGGTGCAGGTTCAGTACCTCTCATTCGACGAGCAGATATCGAGCTTCGAAATCGTCAAGAAGGCGATGATAGCCAAGATCGGCAAGGAGGCGGCGGAGGCCGCTGTCAATGCGGCATTGTTCCAAATTGGACTCGGTGAGGGCCAGGGTTTCTTCATCTTACATACTCCATTCTTAACCCTTGTGGAGGTTGTACTCCTACTGAGCCAATAGCAGCAGAGCACTGACGTGGCGTATAAAATGTGTCTTGGCGTTCGGCAGGGAGCAACGACTACATCAACAACTTCCTGCAGCCATTCATGGCGGACGGCACCACGTACAGGCACGACCAGTTCATCCGCCTCCTCATCACCACCCTAGACCGGCAGCTCAAGGCAAGACCTCGAACCGACACTGTCCACCACGCACGGCACTGCCGCACTGCCCATGCAGAGGCGGGCTCGTCTAATCTGTTCTGCTTCTGCAGCGGCTGTACGGGCTCGGCGCACGGAAGGTCGCGTTCAACGGGCTGGCCCCGCTGGGTTGCATCCCGTCGCAGCGCGTGCGCTCCACGGACGGCAAGTGCCTGTCAAACGTGAACGACTACGCCCTGCAGTTCAACGCGGCCGCCAAGAAGCTGCTCGACGGCTTGAACGCCAAGCTGCCCGGCGCGCAGATGGGCCTCGCCGACTGCTACTCCGTCGTCATGGAGCTCATCCAACACCCCGAGAAGAACGGTAACGTGTCCTGACCGAGTGCACGGCGATCCAGCTCCGGCGGCGGCGTGCGTACGTGAATAGTACACTGTACACTTCTTCTTCTTCTTTTCTCACGGTGCGTATATATACGCACGCAGGGTTCACGACGGCGCACACGTCGTGCTGCAACGTGGACACGGAGGTCGGAGGGCTGTGCCTGCCCAACACGAGGCCCTGCAGCGACCGCAGCGCGTTCGTGTTCTGGGACGCCTACCACACCTCGGACGCCGCCAACAAGGTGATCGCCGACCGCCTCTGGGACCGACATGATGAGCGCCGGGCAAGGGGGCGCTTCAGCTCCTCCGCGCGTCGGCGCGTCTAGCCCCGCCGCGGCGCCGTCTCCGTCCCCGTCTGAGGACTACTGAGGAACCGACCGTGCCGATCGATGCACGGTGTTGCCAGCGCCCGTAGAGCGTTTTGGCAATTGGATCTGCAGATGTTTAGTTCACCTTATACGTGTTCACAGAGGAGCATATACATGTTGCGTGTTTGCGTTGTGTCATACACATAAGTTTGAGAATGAAAAGTTATTCTTCTTTAGAGGAAGAATGGAAAATTGATGTGTTTGTAATTTCGTATACACCTTCGTGTGTTGGGCCTTTTCACGATTTGGTGCCAAACCAGCTAAAAACCAGGAAACGTCGATGCCCTTCCTAGGCTTCTGATCTTGATCATCCCTGTACAGCTTCTTGAACTGCCTCATCGGCACCTCCTTGCCGAGCACCCCGCACGTTGCCAGGGCTCGGTGGCCGTCTCATCGGCCTCCATGGAGTCCGCGCTGGCGTGCACCAACTGGGTGAACACCAACCCACGCTAAACTGTCGTTGAACAGGTCTATTATGCGTTGCACTTGTATATTAACATTTAGGGTAACACAATTAAACAACTAAAATGGTGTATATGCTTTGGTGATTTTGAAAAATCATCGATCACATATTATAATATTAGATAGAATAAAAAAACATGATTCCGATGACAACCTGATACCAAATAAAGATTACTTGCATGACAAAAATAATATCATAATATTGAGGATCCATACACAACCTTCCATTTTTTTACAAACAACAAAAATAGTTTGGCAAACATCGAGAATTTACATGTGTAGCCTGACTGACCGGTAACCTCGATGGTGCTTTAGATTTTACTCCGCACGTGACAATCAAAATTCCACTTCACGAACAAATAAGCAAAAAGAACATTCCAAGGCTTATAATTAATCCCAAGGGCTTGCAAAACTACCTGGATGATGAAATGACCTTGGATAGATTTTGCACGGAAGATATCTACCCCTTGACCACATTCTCTGCACAGATCTGTCTCACGTTCTAACAGTTCCATATCCTTTGATATTTTCAGATACTGCCAGCTCATGCAATCATACTCCATTTGATGTGATATGTTATCATACCTACCAGCAATGTAACAAAGTAAAGTCAAGTTCTTAGCCTGGCATATTAGATAC